GCACTCGACTAGGCTACGACGAGGACTTGCTCAACGATCACTGAGAGCTTGACGGATAAAGGATTGAACTGCCAATAATGGAGTACATAACCTTTTCGCTCGCTCATCAGCCCAATCAGCGACGACGCCGCGCGACGGTCGTCGTCGTCGTCGTCTGAGAGCTCTGACGTGTTCAGAGCCTAATCGATGGTAGGCCAGAATGACGTCTTCGGGCGGCAGTTGCAGGAACTCCAGAATGAGTGTGGTCAGCGTGCAGGGTTTGTTCTGCCGGCCGTGGGGCTGGAACCGACCGGGACGGGTGGCGAGGTCGTGCATCCTTCGCCGGACTTGGGTTGCTAAATAAGTGTTTACGTTCCCGTTGAAGTAATTTCGCAAGTCCATGACTTGGTCCTCGTTCAGGAAGTATTCGCCATTGTGGCGCCTCATTTGCAGCAGCTGGAACAGGACGGCCGCCAGTTCCCGCCGCTTCACGACTTGCGGTCCCTTCACCAGCGGCGAGCGGAGGGTGTCAGTTGCGAACAAACCGCCGACCAGCTCTTGCGCGAAACTTTCTCGCGCGGGTTCCGCGTCCGCCTGGTCCGTCCGGCGCGCCTTCGCCGCCCGGATTGCTTGCGCTAGCGCGTCTTCCGGTTCCGGGGCCTGCTGCTGGTCAGTCCGGTCCCGGCAGACGGTCACCGAGGGGCGCCGGGTCAGCTCTCGAGCCAAACGCTCACGGGCGGTCTCCGCGTCCGGCGTCCGGCGCGTCTTAGCAGCACGGGCCGGCTGCGTCAGTGCGTCCTCCGGGCCGGACGTCTGTGGGCGGTGTTCGAGTAGAGTCTTCCACCTCCGGAGCTGGGCCGCGCGCAGGCTGTTCAGTGGGCGCTGCTCTAAGGCAGTCCTCGTCCGAGTGGTTGGCGGCCACTCGGTGCGGAGATGGCGCGCAATGTGATCGGCGAACGACACCACTTTTACGGGTTCGTCCACCAGACCGGGCAGCCCCTCCGCGTATAGCTCACGCCCGCGCGCTCGAGCAGACAAGCCGTCAGCCACACATCCGCAGCGTCCAGCCGCGCCAGTGCACCGTGCGGCCACGGCAAGGGTCCCAGTGCGGCCAACTGTAGCGCCGCGTGCACACGCGAAGTCACGTTCCCGAACGGCAGGTAGAAGAACAGACAGAACGCCTCAGCCACCTTCAAATAATCCCAGCTGCAGGTTGCCAGCCCCGCCTCCTCTACCACTCGCGCCGGGTCCTCGACCAGACCGGGCGCGGTCAGCTGCACCCGCTCAGGCAGCGACCTTCACGCGAGCCTCTCACCACCCACCACACCCTGGAGCACAGTTGCCCTGGACTATTGTGGCCCATACCCGCCTAGTGAGTCCGGTATGCGGTACGTACTAGTCATTACTGCCCACTTCACCAAGTGGGTAGAGCTGATT